TTCCATATATATGTGTTAGCACACAGTATTTGTTTTTCTCTTTCTGACTTACTTCACTGTGTATGAGAGACTCTAGGTCCATCCACCTCACTACAAATAACTCAGTTTCATTTCTTTTTATGGCTGAGTATGATTCCATTGTATATATGTGCCACATCTTCTTTATCCATTCATCTGTCAATGGACACTTAGGTTGCTTCCATGTCCTGGCTATTGTAAATAGAGCTGCAATGAACATTGTAGTACATGACTCTTTTTGAATTATGGTTTTCTCAGCGTATGTGCCCAGTAGTGGGATTGCTGGGTCATATGGTAGTTCTATTTTTAGTTTTTTAAGGAACCTCCATACTGTTCTCCATAGTGGCTGTATCAATTTACATTCCCACCAGCAATGTATGAGGGTTCACTTTTCTCCACACCCTCTCCAGCATTTATTGTTTGTAGAGTTTTTGATGATGCCCATTCTGACTGATGTGAAATGATATCGCATTGTAGTTTTGATTTGCATTTCTCTAATGATTAATGATGTTGAGCATTCTTTCATATGTTAGTTGGCAATCTGTATATCTTCATTGGAGAAATGTCTATTTAGGCCTTCTGTCCATTTTTGGATTGAGTTGTTTGTTTTTTTGATATTGAGCTCCATGAGCTGCTTGTAATTTTTGGAGATTGATCCTTTGTCAGTTGCTTCATTTGCAAATATTTTCTCCCATTCTGAGGGTTGTCTTTTCATCTTGTTTATGGTTTCCTTTGCTGTGCAAAAGCTTTTAGGTTTCATTAGGTCCCATTTGTTTACTTTTGTTTTTATTTCCATTTCTCTAGGAGGTGGGTCAAAAAGGATCTTGCGTGATTTATGTCATAGAGTGTTCTGCCTATGTTTTCCTTTGAGTGTTTGATAGTGTCTGGACTTACATTTAGGTCTATAATCCATTTTGAGTTTATTTTTGTGTATGGTCTTATGGAGTATTCTAATTTCATTCTTTTACATGTAGCTGTCCAGTTTTCCCAGCACCACTTACTGAAGAGGCTGTCTTTTCTCCATTGTATATTCTTGCCTCCTTTATCAAAGATAAGGTGACCATATGTGGGTGGGTTTATCTCTGGGCTTTCTATCCTGTCCTTTGATCTATATTTCTGTTTTTGTGCCAGTACCATACTGTCTTGATTACTTAGCTTTGTAGTACAGTCGGAAGTCTGGGAGCCTCATTCCTCCAGCTCCGTTTTTCTTTCTCAAGTATGATAAATAGAAATGATTAAAAATAATATGCTTTGAAAGTTTAGAGAAGGAAAAAATTGTATTAAAGTGGATGGGGGAAGAATTCATTACTGGGGTGGTACTGGGAAATGGCTTTCAAGGAGGAGGGCTACTTCAGTAAGTGAAGGGACAAAAAGGCAAAAATATTGAGGCCCTGGGGGCAGCATAAATCAATACATCAATGAAGGAAAAGGCAGCGTGTATGGGAAGCATGGAGTCATTTAGTTTAGCGGAGGGCTGGATCTTTGGAGGGGGAGAGAAAGTGAGAAAGTTACATTTGCATGAAGTGGTTTTATTAATTAGGTGCATTATGTGGAATCACAGCAATGTTTTTTGAAAGAGTAATGATGTGACCAAAGTTAAGCTTCACAAAAATTAATCTGCTGCCCATGTGCACAATAGACTGGAGTCAAAAAGAACCTGGAGGTGGAAACAACAGTTGGGAGGATATAATGATAGCTAATATTTGTTGAGCACTAAATATGTGATAGATTTTCTTTTTTTAAATAACATCTTTATTGGAGTATAATTGCTTTACAATGGTGTGTTAGTTTCTGCTTTATAACAAAGTGAATCAGTTATACATATACATATGTTCCCATATCTCTTCCCTCTTGTGTCTCCCTCCTTCCCACCCTCCCTATCCCACCCCTCTAGGGGTCACAAAGCACCGAGGTGATCTCCCTGTGCTATGCAGCTGCTTCTCACTAGCTATCTATTTTATGTTTGGTAGTGTATATATGTCCATGCCACTCTCTGTGATAGGTTTTCTTATTCAATACTTATAACAACCTTATGAGATGGGTACTGTCATTACCACATTTGATAGATAAGTAAACAAAAACACACAGAGTAAAGCATTTACCAGTTTACTGACAATGTTAGGAAGTGACAGAGCCCTACTTTGAACCCAGGCAGTGTGGTTCCACAAATAAACTAGTCTAAGCATGAATTAAACATCAACATTAAACTAGTCTAGTAAAATAGACTTATCCTGAGAATAACCTTTAAAAGGAAGCTGAAGGAAATGATAGATTCTAATATAAAGGTGTTAAAAATTCTTCAATTTCAGAGTAGTTTGTATGGATCTATTAGTTATCTTTAGTTTGTAATTCATATTGAATCTATTATGTGTGTTCTAAATGAAAATTAGCAGTGATATTAGAACTTGACTTGCAAAGTTCTTGAAGAAATCCCTTTATGGGGCCAGATCTCTGTCTCCACATTCTCCAACAGGACAAGTATTGCCAAGCTCCTACTTTTTGATATTACTTTCATAATTTATATCAACATAAAATTGTATTTTCCACTGTTTTAAGATTTCTGGGTTTTAAATTCTGTATTGCAGCTAGAGGCAGTTCACAGAGAACTTGGATTTGTTCTTCTGACATCTTTGTGGTTAGTAATTATACCTCAGAGTGGGAGCTGGAGCCTGTCATGGACGTTCTGAACCTCTCTGCATTGAGACAGATGCTGTGGGCTGCAGATGACTTCTTAGAGGATTTGCCTCTTGAGGAAACAAGTAGATGTTTTTGAGGTGTAGAAGCTTGAAGGTGTCAGCTACATGGCTACTTCCGGTTTGGGTACATCCTAGAGGATCTATACTACTTCTCATCCCCCTTGTCTTATTTTAAAATGAAATATTTGAAATGATTGACCTCTGTCATTCCCACTGTCTGAACATCCCAAGCTGTATCCTTGCCCTCTTCTGTTAAAATGGGCTTTGCTGCTTGGGACCCAGAATGGGATTGGCTCAGCATTGTTTCTGATCGGATGTGATCTTTGATTATCGGTTCTTCCTTCAGACCTTATACTTCCACCATTATTGACTTGACTTTTCAATGCCTCTCCCTTGTCAAAGTCCCTCTTAATGCAGTGTGGTCAGTTCTGGGTAGAGGTGTGTGCCTTTCCTGTTTACGACCTCAGATTTTAGCGTTATGTGTATTTTCTGTTATCAGCCTGTGCATAGTACACACTGCACTGTTCCAATCAAAGATCAGACAGAAGTATCAATCTAAACTCAAATCTTATTTTAGCTTGTGGGAAATCAGAGTATCATATCATCTCTAGTCCTCTCTCACTCACAAACTCCTGGGAAACTCTCACACTACTACTTTTGCTGTCCTGACTCTGCCACCTTTGTTTTTCTATTCCTTCTCTTCCTCATGGTGCATGCATTCCCAAAGTCAGGGTTGGCTTAGACCTCCTGTAGCCCAATATTTCTTCTTCCTACTGGTTGATTTTCCCCAAATAATTCATCAAGAATACTTTGTTTCTCTTTACTAAGAGATCAGAGGAAAGAAATGATCAGGTGTAAGTAAAGAAAATAAGTGAATGCTTTGCATATTAAAAAGTTTTTAATCTCATCATAGAAGAGTAAACAGTGTGAGATGAGAAAACATAGGAAAAAGAGAAGTAGTTGAACCTGAGGGAGGTATTTTATTTAAGTCTGGAATGAAGTTACACATACAAGATCATAATACCTACAAAGAGGAACAGGACCATTTAAAGTCATTAATTGTAAAAAAATATATAATTTATTTTAAAATCATGTTCTGTACCTGTGAAAAATTAAAGTTTCTTTTTGTAAAACCCGAGTCTAACTTGAGTGTGTGCATATGTGTGTGTGTGGTGTGTGCATGTGATTCTGGCAAAGCTTATTTTAATATGACTTGTCAGCATCTTCTGATCTTCACCCAAGTCATCTTAATTTTGCTTTCTTATGTTACGTCTAACGTGCTTGATTTTATTCTCTTTGGGCCCCAGTTAACATTGTATTCTTTAACCTAAAGCCATTTTTATTTGAATATCTGAACACTTCTTCAAGGATGTGGCAATTAATATTAATGAGTTCTAGAGGACTAAAACTGAGAGGGACTATAGTTTGATTACTCTGTCAATTACGACTATTTCAATTTCAAGTGACAAAACTCAACCTGAACTACATGAATAAAAAAGAGGACTATAGTACTGGATCAAGTAATCCAACAATAGAAAAGGCTGGGATTGAATTGAATTGGCCTCAGGAATTGTTGAATCTAGGGATTCAAAAGCTATTCAAAAGCTATTCTTTCTCTCTCTCTCTCTTTCACACACACACATACACACACACATACACCACAGCCTTCTGATTCCTTCTTTCTGTATATTGCTGTCATTCTCTCACGCTAGCAATCTTGATAAATACTTCATCTTTTGAGTCCAAGCTTCAGCAGGCTGACATTCATTCAGTCTTGTGACCTGAAAAGAAAGGACTTTTCTTTTCTAGTTTCATTGTGAAATACTCCCCCAAAACGACTGCAATTGATCTAGCTCAAGTCATACACCTAACCTCCCTCCCCCAGGAATAATTACTTTACCAAGAAGAGCAAGGAAGTATGATCAGCCCATCTTAGGTCATGTCTGCCCAGGAAGAGTGATTTATTATTATTAGAAGAAAGTTAATCATGGACATGGCTACTGTTGGATTAACTGAGCTGAAGAGGCACCATAATATGTATCTCATAGATCAGGAAGTTTTGTATCTAGTTCCTCATTTAGATTAAAAAGTTTGCTAAAAAAATCTTATTAGTAAGTCTAAAATGGTTAAATTAAGAAAAACTTTTTAAACTTTAATAAAAAGCATTTTGTTAAAGTACCATATACACATAAAAAGTGCATGGTTCAAAAGTACAATATATAGCTGGATTTATTTTTACAAACTTTACAACTCCATGAAATTAGAACTCACATTAAAAATAGAACATCACCAGCATCAAATAAGTCCCATTTATGCCAGGTCTAGTTATCTAGGATATCCACTGTTCAGACCTTTAATTGCAACATTATCTACGATCATACCTAGGATACCCACTATTCTGACTTCTAATTGGGTAGATTGGTCTTGTTCTTATTTATCCCTCACATAAATAGTATTATGCACTATTTATTCTTCTGAGTCTGATTTTAATATGATAATGTATTTGATTTATATTATTGCACAATGATAAAGATTATTCATTCTCATCTATTCTACCTTTGATGGGCAGCTGGGTAGTTTCCAGTTTGGCACTATTACAAATAGTGTTACTACAAACATTCCAGCATGTGCCTTTGTAGAACATATGGAAACATTTCTGTTGGATATATATCTAGGACAGAATTGCTGTGTCATGGAGTGTGTACATGTTTAGCTTTAATCGATAATACCAGCCCCTTTTTAAAAGATATTTGAAAAATGTTTTGGTTTTATCTAAAAATTTAATAAGTCAAGACTTCCAAATTTTTAAAACTTCATCTTAAATTTAATATATTTAATTTCTGATTTTATCAATTCTATTGTTTGACTAAACCTTCCTGAGTATTGAAAGATTCTTACAGATCTAGTATCTTGATCTTAGAATCATAGTGAACCTAAAGTTATTCTAAATTTCCAAATATATGATGAAAATGTATTAAGATTTCAACTTAAATCCACAAGTTCAAATTAAGTACTTAATTAGATATTTTAAATGAGAGATATAAGAAATTTGACCTATCAGTACTTTATTTTTGGTTAACTCTCGCTGCCTAAGAAGTCACGTCAAACTTTAGTGCCTTCAATAAGAATCACTTATTATCATCTGTGTCTGAGTCTGGCTAAAGGTTGGTTATCCCAGCTTGGGATCAGCTGAAAGGTTATACTTCAGGCTATGGCTGCCGGGGTATGTTGGCTAGGGCTGTTCCACTCCATATCTGTGCATTCTGAAACTGATAAGACAGTAGCTTCCTAGGGACAGCTCTTCCTGTTGTGTGGCAGAATTGCAAGAAGGCAAGGGGAGCCATGCAATGTCCCTTAAAGCCTAAGCGTACAACTAACACATCATCACTTCTGCCCACTTGCCATTGGCCAAAGCGAGTTATATGGGCAAACCAAATCCAAGGGGCTGAAAAATTCACCCTCTCTCCCAGTGAGGCCATGGCAAGTGTGTGACTGCAGAAGAGAGTGAAGAATTGAGACCAATAATAATGTATGTATGTGTCTATCTAGTATATACATATAATATACCATATTATACAATTTGTTTTCCATTCCCATATCAAAAGAAAGCCAGGATTAGTTTGCTTGCTCATGGGACTAACAACAGTATACATTCTCTATCCTCCCTCAAAGATACTTATATTCTCTAGTATACTGTCATAACCTAATAAGACAAGATTTATACTTGATCATTATCAAAAGTCAGTTGCTTCATAACGATGATACTACCATGATAGCTTCTCTAAAGGAAAAGAAAGCCAGGGAAAAAATGAGAATTGTGATAGTTTATTCAGTTCAATTTTGAGTGAAAAACATGGGCTGTAATCAGAAGAGACTTTCCAAAGACAGTACGTAATATATGCCAGGGCTTACTACTTAGAAAGAGGCTCAATGGCTGTTAAGGCTATCTGAATCTTGGAGGGTACATATGTTGTACCTAAGATGTTATTATCCTTTATATATCAAGTGACCAAAGAGAAATCTGAGTTTGAATGGGATCTGGAACAAAAGAGACTTTGATATATTTACAAAGGAAGAGCTATAGCTCAAGTAGCAAAATCAAGTCCATGTAATGTTGTCACATGAATTATTTTGAAAATATCTACTATGCAGACATATGCAGACTAAATTCTCAGGAAGAAGTCTATAACTGCTCTCACTTGGTGACTACTGAGATATTTGCACCTGCAAGTAACCTGATGGCAATAGCTAGATATAGTCACTCCAAGAGACCTTTGTTGTCCTGAAATTGGGCTTTGATAGAAATAGCTCCCATCACTGAAAGACATCAAATATCCATTATATTATAGGTAATGTCAGAGAGCTATTCTAATAATGATGGATCAGATCCAATGATGGATAACATAGAAATGGAACAGTAACTAGATGTGACTCTGGGAAAGTACATGGTATCCATGAACAGGGTACAGCCCCACCTAGAGGACAGAACCACCAGAAGAATTCTTAGTTTCTTGTTAAAAAGGGTGAACCTATGACTTTTATCCTACTAAAGTAACACTTTAGGATTGGACAATTAAAAATACCACTGTGAAGAGAATTAAATTATGGAAATATGTGGAAATTCTGTGGAAGAATTACAATGGGTCATATCAATGACCACCAGATAAAACCTGGCTGCTGGCTCATATGGGGTTAGAATACAAAGACTGATGCATTGGTCTATTCCTTGGATGTTATCTCCTTGGGTACATAAAATAAATGGGGATATTTTTACTTGAGCTATAAATATTGGATGGAACAATGACATCCTCCTTTACGGAAATTACTGATGTGATAATATGCTATCCGGATTGTGAATGGGAAAAGAATTTCCAAAAGATGACTTTGGGTAAGATTCCTCAAGGGCAGGTAATGGCAGTTGACAACACTGGACCCTTACTGGTAGCCCAGGTGGCTTCAACTGGGTCCTGACTAGAATAACCACATATTAGACTTTGACTTTGCTTATCCTTTGGGTGTAACCATGGCTGAGGATACTATTAAAGATTTGGAACAATACGTGA